ACTTAAATCATTTTTCTATATTTTTATCAACTGAATTTAATCATATGACCAAACAAAATCTAATCTAGACCGTATCTTCAGTCCAACTCGGGATCACCCACACACATGGACAATAGTCCTGTATATGAGGCAGTTATAAAGCTTGTCTCTGTGCAGTATGCTCACTCTGGCAGTGTCCACCTCACAGCATTAGGGAAGCATTACCACACTGAAAGAACATACAACATAACTCACGTCTTTGTCTATTGTTTGTCCTGATAGATGACAGTCACAGATAATGCAAAACAGAACCCATAACAAATAAGTCGTAATGTGGTTAGGACATAAGCAGCCTACGAACACACGCATGCACACACTCACAACAAATGAAAATTAAAAGAGCTACGTTAGCCAGAGCAGAGCACTAGGGGAGCATAAATGAAAAGCATTATGAAATGAGAATTGTCAATTGGCAGCAAAGATTAGTCGGTCTGAGCTGTTTTGTTCTGTTTTCCTGTGGTGAAGAAAAATTCCCATCATGAGAGAGTCTTTGAAAAAACAGCAGTCTGCACAAAGGTCAGGTGATTTTAAATAACCAGCAGGCCTTTATGACACAGAGGACCATAATGAGAATTATTAGCATCTGCACTCAGATTAGTCATGTATATCTATTTCCCACATGAGGGGTCTTTATCATCCATTATCTTTTTTTGTATTTTTATTTAGGGCTACTGTGCCTCGTATGGTATACTATTAATTAGATGTAAATGTTTGACTGATGTATTCTGGCAGCTCTTTTCGTATCCACCGGTTTGTTAATGAGTCCCGTGAGTGCCAGCACAGACATAGCATGAAAAACATGAAAATAATTGAGTACATTAAGACTTGCACAGAATTTTATCCTGTTACTGGACAGAAATCAAGTTTGCAATTTCCAGACACATCTTAAAGCTAATTCCTCATCAGTCTAGAGACAGTGCTCTATATTGATAAAGCAGTTTTGTTTTAGGAGTGTTTTGTTCCTTTTTATTAAAGTGAAAAGGCTGAAAAACCCTGAAAATTCATATCATCATTCATAGTCAGATCTTTGTTATCACTGTAGCTGTTGAGTTCTGGTCCATCGTGTTTCTTTTGAGCATTATTGAGGACACTTTTTGCTACTACTGAAGAACATAATAGGGTCCGTCATTCTTAAATAAACTAACTTCGGAACCAGTAGAAGTCTTCCTAAATCTGTCCAACCAGCCAAACTAAGTAAGTGGGTCAAGTCCTCCACTAGCTAACTAGCCAAGAACACCAAAAACACTAAGAACTTAGCAAAACAGCTGAAAACTTAAATTGCTTATGATCACATTGGAAATGGTGCAGTATACGTCCATGCTAAATTATAGGTTTTACTAATTTTGTCTTTGAATATATGAATCTAACTGGACATGAGGTTGCCTTGAGTAGTGTTGAATTGATCTATTTTAAACATCCCTGCACAATAACAAACCTATTGTTATCATGTAGCCAAACCATTTCTATATTTAGCTGAGCTGGTGGCGAATTTAGCAAGATCATGTGTATATTACTTAGTTGGCAAATCATTTCAAGGTTATCAAGGAGACAGTGGCAGCTCTTATCTAGGGTTTCATTTCCTTCTTATTAAGGGGAATGACAGGTAGCAGGTCCCATACCGCAGAGCTGTTCTCTAATGGTGTACTATGGTGCTGTAACATCACTTCCCATCTTCCCTCCACTGTGAGCAGTGTCTAGGTGAAAAGAGGGGGAGAGAGATGGTGCGGAGTCGGTTTAGCGAAAAGTAAATGGAAAGAGGTGAAAGCACCAGAAAGAGGGAGGACAGAGGAGAGGCAATGCAACATAAAAAAGAAGGGGGGGGAAACATAAGAAGGAAAGCTGGTGAAAGTAGCAACGCAAAGCCTGCTGAGTTCGAGCGCAGACATTGGGGAAATCAGAAAAGCTCAGAGCCTGTTTGTGTAGTGGGGGCTTGTGTGCGCATTCATATTTGCTGTACTCTTACTAGCACGATTCTACCCAAACAAAGCACAAAATAAACCCCAAAATAAACACAGACAGCTCCCTTTTACCCAGTGCACTTGTCATAATTGAAAGCTAGAGACCTGCTGAGATCTCTCAAAATAACATCACTAATGGTCTAAGGCTTAAAACCTTTATAAAGCAGTGAAAGTGTTTGGTTTTCTTAATCCTTGTGTGGAAATAGATCTAAGTTACCTAGGTGTGGGGAAATAAATCTGTGAAAAGAAACACAAGGCTTCCTATCAATGCATTCCCATTGACTCCAAGGTCTTCTATTATGGTGGAAATCTACTTTTTTACCCCCGAGGTGTGCATTATTTTCTATAGTATTTCATTTACTTTCTTCACAACCACTCAAGATTTGACCACAACCTACCAAACTATTTTTCAAAGTTGTTAGAAACGAGCAGTCTTAAGAAGGAAATCTTTGTGTGGTCACTGAAAATGTCTCAAGACTCATATCAATGAGTTGAAATCACAAGACTCGGATTTCTATTTAATGAAAGACTTCATGGACAGCCAAACTTCCAGGGAAAAAAAAGAAAAAAAAATATAATTTTTCCAGATTGGTGCAAAAAAGTCAAAACTTCACAGATACATTGCATTGATACATTGCAAATTATCGATTACACATCACTGTATTTGGTATGATGTTCTGTACTCTTGGATCCTAATGCTATTGTGCAGTAAGAGCCACGTCTTTGGGTTCCTTTTAAAAATGGTCAATAAATACAATCTCTGGCTCTGGGGAGGCTAAAAAACACCTACAATACAGAAACTAGGCTTGGACTCTCAATGCAATAGTCAAAAGCATAAACTTTAGTATTTTTACAATAAAGATGTACTTTTTACTTTAGTAGTTCCTCCAACTAACACCTGATTTATGTTCAGCACTGTCCCCTTTGGCATTTCTGGGTACTGTTTCCCCACAGTTTTTGAATTTATCAGTGGGAGGATAACAATGTTATGTCACAAATGTCATCAAATTCCTGGAAGGAGATTGCTGAAACTATTGGAATGGATGTGAGGGGATGTACACTGAAGTGGAAAAACTAGAGGGACAAAAGTGTTTGACAAAAACAAAGAACGAGGATCCAGGAGGGGAAAAAGGTTTTATCGGCTGGCAATCCATATAAAACACCAGGACACGACCACATGGTAGTTAACATGTAATGCATTGGCGAGCAGTGGAGTCTGAAAATGTTTGTTTTGTTTTCATAACAAAAGTAATAATTAAACTTTACAGTTCCTCCCAAACTGCAGTAAGTTACATCTTCTCTGACCGAATAAAGTGCTGCAAAGATGTGCAAATAATTAGCTGAAAATGAATTTCTGTACACCTGCCTTTACTTGGCACATCTGACCTTATCAAAGAAAAGCAAGATTTATATAACAAAACAAATTTATTTTGATTTGCTTACATCATTTTCCGGTGTTTTTATATCTTCACCAGAGCCATGTGATAGCAGGACATTCTCTTATAATTCTTTATAACTGTTTTGTTCTTTTCGCTCATACCGAGGCTGCTGGCTTGTGCCTGGCTGCCTTTGTTTTGCCTCTTCAAAATGTCCATGTTCAACTGGATGAAGGGTGATTTAAGATTCGGATCAGCTGTTTTGGTGTAAAATATAAGCGATTATCTGCCTGCACCCCTCTTTGCATGTTATGCATGCATGAAAGGGACCGGCTCATAATCAGACGTTTGTGAAACTGACCGGCCAGCTACCAAATCAGGGCCAAGAATTCCAACAATTCGCCATTTCCGGTCCCTGGTTGGTGGATGCCTCTCTACTTATTTTTTAGCTTCAGTGTTAGTTTTATTATTTCAGTAATGTTATTAACTCCTGACTTTCGCCGTCACGATCCTGTGTTTGTCGATGGATTGGCAGCGTGTGGCTTATGTGTGACATAAACTTGAATCACAAAAACATTATTACAATTTAGTTCAGTCTAAACACAACATATTTGCTTTTGTTTTCACTTGTATTTTCTGTTATTTCAGGAGGTTTTTTTAGATGCAGATTAAGGTGCACAAAAGATTAATTAAAAATGTTATCTATAGTATATAATTCACAGAAGTCTATTAAATAACAGCTAAATATATGTACCATTACGTGAGAGCATGAGCATTGTAATGTGCTGCAGTCGATGCAACATGTCAAAGATGTAGTTAATAAAATATGTATGGTCTATGCATGGTGTAGTTTTTCCACCTGTTACTATTGTATTAATAATACAACATATAGAACTTTTGTAGCTTTCTGTAGCCTTTGTGCTGGTGTGTCTATGTGCAGGTGTGGCATACTTGAATTTACGATCTCATCAGGGAAGTAGCTGTTCACAGGACATTAACTATACATGTTGTCATGATTTGTATGTAGGGATGGGCAGGAGACAGGAGGAGGGGAGAGAGAGGGAGAGAGAGAGATTGTTGATGAGCTGGGAGCCAAAGAGAAATCAGCACAATTTGCTTAATAAAATTAGGGACAGTTGAACTGCACAAAGCCAGCTGGGCGCTTGAGGGAAAACAGCATTCGGTGCAGGACTTTCAGCTCACTAACACACTAGAACTTGGCCTCAGTGTGTTGGCGATTCTTGACCACACACTTTCTGTATTTGTGGCTTCAATCCGTAAGCGTGTGCCGGCTTCACACCGCTTATTGTAATCTTTCAACAAGGGCGCCACCTGACACCTGGCCACCTCTAAAACCTCCTCTACACCTGCAGAGTCTGGGTGGCCTCAAAGGGTGGGCCATGCATCACCATGCAAAGGAAGAAAGGGACCCTCCCAAAATGGAAGGGAATGAGGCAGCTACCATGTCAGCCTCCAGTGCAGCCCTGGACAGTCCCACCTCCGTCGTCCAGGCTGAGCAGGCCCAAGCTACACTCACTCCTCTCAACCGCAGCCGGTGTAGGTTTTTCTGTCAGCCATGGTGTCTGCTCTTCGCACTGATCCTGCTCCTGCTTTCTCTTCTTGGCAGCTGGGCAGTGGTCCACCTGACGCTGGGGGCAAACGGAGGATCACCTTTTCGGATCTCAGCCAGCTACGATCAGCGGATCCCGCAGGATGATACGGCCACCATTGAGCCCCACTTCACCACCAACTGCACCATGGGTAAGTAGCTGCCACTGATGTGTGTGTGATGTGTTTCGTTGCTGTTGTAAAAGTTAATTAATTAAAGTTAAAGACTTTTAAGAGTGGCTTTCATCAGTCAGTAATTCCAAAAGAGATTTCCAACAATCACAAAATAGTTGCTGTCACTTCTCTACAAATTAAATACTGTGAGGAAGGTAAATCATTTTATATCAGTAACTGAGTAATAAAATTAATATATAATGAAAGTTATTTGCTGCAAGATTAATTACAAATGGCTCCAAACTGATAGAAATCAATATATCTCGTAATAAAAGTTTGGGATTCTTACGTTTTCAGTCGTTCCCTTGTTTTCAGATGCGTATGTGGACAAATGTGTCTCACATGTCTGCAGAGTGACTGAGTTCTTAAACATGTCAAAATGGAAATTGCATAGTTACACTCAGTCATTTTTAACTTCATTACAGCATGTTGTCGAATGAAATGCGTAGGCTGGTCTAGACTGGAATAATATCCTTCTCTGTCAACCTCGAAAGCTCCTCAAAATTGAGTTAATAAAACTGATTCAATTTCCTCTGAACTAGATGCAGAAGTACAGCAGACTTTCCTCAAACATGTAACGTGTAGAAACACAGATAAAGTCCTTGTTTCCTCTAACTGGCAGATGTTTGACGGGCAGAAAAGTGCAAATCAGCACCTGTTTGTCACACCAACCCGGTGCTGATTTACTGGAAGAGAATGCCTTAATCTGCATGTATAAAATGTCTCTATTTAAAAAAAGAAATCACATTTTTTGTCAAAAGCTGTGGGATTTTTTCCTAGTATAAGTTTTTAAAAAGCAAGGGTTCGTTTCAGGCTTATTTAGGGAAACTTGTTTACCCAACCAGCTCAGAGACCACAGAAACCACATAAAAAGCAATAATCAAGTTAAGAATGACCAAGAGAAATGGTTCACCATTAGCTTCTTGTAATCAAATAAATTAAATCTTGAAATTGGCAGCAACACACTGCCAATTTATGTATTACAACATTATATTTATAATGACAATCCAGCATTATACTTTCCCGTTGAGTCACGTCACCTTTGTTCACGTTATTTAAACTCGTGTTTAAACTGCTGTTCTGGCCATTTTATCCCCTTGATGTTTTTCTAGTCTTTGGTCTTGTTACAAGTGATGCTTTATGCACATATTACGTGGTAACTAGAGCCCCTGCAACAAACTGCAGTGTTACCTTTTTTATTTAAAAGACAACAAATTTACAAAAAGAAGAAAAAAATCGAATTAGCATTTATAAAATTTGGGCTTCTTTCTAAGACTCGGTGTCATCGTTTGGCAGCTGTAGTAGCTTGCGGGGACTCTTTCCATTTTTACTTTTTCCACACACTTTTTTTCTGCCAATCATTTCAAGCTCTGAGATATTCTTTCAGGCACAGCATGTTAAATATCTGCCCACAGATCTTTAGCTGGAGTGCCATTCTGAAAGCTTCAGCTTGAATTTCTTCAAGTACTTTAAGTTGGACTTTGAGGTCTACATTGGAGCTTTGTCATATTGTTAAAGCCAGCCTCCTTTCACACTTCTCAACTGACTGCATGACATAGCACTCATAATTTGCTTTTAATTAGAGGAATTCAATCTGGGCTCTATTCATGCAATCCTTCATGTGCCATTGGTTATCATACATGCCAAATCTGAATATATCCACACCCACACTTGACAGCATGCAAGGTGTTATTTTAATCAAACTCCAGTCATTCTTTCCTCCAGAAATGTGGATTAAGATTTTGAATTCATAATGTCTGCAGCATATGATTTTAAAATGATTAAGATTTTGTTTTTGTGCTGAATTTTGTAGGGAAGTCAGTCTTCCATATATTGTGCCCGACTTTCACATTTTCGTTTAAGGACATTTTGCAAAGTGGAAAAAAGCTGGCAGCTTTCTCATATCTTTCAGATGCCTTTTTCTGCTTTCGAGGCATCAGTTATCTTCAGTTTCTTCAGTGTTTACTCCCGGGAGCCTAAACAGTCAGAAAATTTATGAAGCTCATTGTCAGCAGCTGACAGATGATCTGATCTTACAGCTCCAAACAAGTCAGTTTGGACCTAATTAAGGTCATGAGTCAGAAGACTCTGAAATTTAACAAGTGAAAGGCTGACTGAACTTTTCTACATGCTACAATTATATGCCATGTTTTTATAAGTGACGTGAATTAACATTTGACGATTGTTGCATTATTGAACTGGTTGTTTTTACTTCATTCCACTTCAAAAAAATCAACACATGTGCATTTTACCTTTAGCTGCACGTAAACAGTTCTTCCCACGTTTGTGTCGTAGTGATTTCTGGCCACTGATTCTGGGTGGATCACTTGAACAAAGACCTGCACTGCACTTTATATTTGACTGCTTGTTATGCTGAGCACTGGAATGCAGTCAAGTGATCCTTTACCTTGTAGTTCTGTATTAAAAAATACAGCACATCTTAAAAAAAGAAAAAGAAAAATGGTGATCATTCCCAGGGGCCTTTTTTTAAATTCAGAGAGATGCTCACAGTCCAGCAAATGTAATCCCTTCTGCTTTTATGGAGGGAGAGTCTCTTTGCACTCTGCAACAATGAAATGGCTTTTATGCTTGGTCAATATTTAGCTCCAGGTGAAAGAGGAAGATTGCACCGCAGGAAAGACTTGTCTTGTGGATTTGTCTTCAGATTTGGTTTAAATAAGGTGTTTAAACTTGAGTTTGGTTCAAAGGTGTATTTGGTTATCAGCTATGTAAATACATTTGTGTATATGAGTGTGACAAGAGAGGAAGTAAGAGAAGGAGAGGAAATGCAGTTCAGTTCAGTGCATATCTAGTCTTCACTAGGGGTAAGTCTTCCCTTACCCCAAAATTCTCTTTGTAAACTGAATCATTCAATCAAATGCTGCTAATGAAAGTGCAAAATTTTAAAAACATATAATTAGCCTAACTTCACATCAATCAAAACAATTTCCATCTCACTTAAAACAGAAGTGATTCTCCAGTGGGTCTTTGTGTAACTGTTACAAAGAGTATGATGCTGCTCATGCAAATCCAGCTTTAGTTGAACAGTATCTAATTGTTCTTTGTTTTGGGTTCACCCTGTTCCTCTTCCCTGACAGTGCATAAGCTCTGGCTGATAGACAGAGAGAAAAAAGCATGCAGACGTGCCACGCTCTCTTCGGGCACCACCTGGGTCCCTAGTACAACACCCACGACACACATCCCACTTCTAAACAAAGTCCTAATCCGTCTCGGCACGCTCGCCGTGTGGCCTCACCACATTTCGTGGTGTTCTCAACCTCCCCCACTTTTTCCTCCAGCACCTGTCACAAACCTGAGCTCAAATTACCTCTCTTCTCAGAACATGAAGCCAGAGTGCTCCATTAAGGCTCTCACACTAAATCCCTGACAAATACACTCGTTTGCTTTATTTGTTCTAGTCCCTTGCACTGAAAAGTTGCTAATTACTACTATTAATGACCTCCATTATCAAGCTTTTGGGGTGAATAGCTGTAAGACTGATCCACACTTCAGTGATTAATTGTGTTTAATTTGGTCCCAAAGGTTTGAAGTTTTAATTTCAGCAGACAGGAGGCTGTGGACACAGACTGTTGGTACTGTTATGGTTGCGTAACAATTTCCTTTAGACTTGGAAGACTTTTTTTAAGAAACGCATGATTCAGTCTGACAGTTTTAATTCACTGATTCACTCATTATTTGATTTTTTTAGCAGGTCTGCCTTGAGATATTCTGTATTAGCAGAATGGATGTATTATTTATAATCATTTAGCTAATAATTCATCTAAATACGATGCATTCAGTTGAAATTACTTCTCCTTTTCATCTTTTGCACCTGATTTGTAATTTTGACAAAGTCCATTTCCTCCTCTTTAGTTGTTTTCATGGGCAGAAAGGCAGCGATTACTCTAGCTAGTGAAGTGCATGGAGATAGTCAATAGAGAATAAATAAATGGAGCAGTGTCTGACTTCTTTCTCCATACCCTTCCACTTTAATTAACTCATCAGTCACTGGACCAACAAGCAATCCAATTTGCTGCCCTTAAAGTGACTTGTGTGGCTGTATGCCTATCTCCAGTGCTCATCCTTCTGACAGGAAGTTAGAATCCTACCTTCTGCCAGTATTTCTCTTTATGGTTGTCGCATATCTGTCCAGAGAACGTAATCATTCAAACTCAGCAAACATGTCAGCAACACTCTTAACCTGAGAGTAAATAGACACTTCTGTGATGACTGACAATCTCATTAACAGATTGTGTCAATAGCAGATTTGACTTTTTCTTCTGTGACAAGCCAGAAGGTCACGTTTGCCCTAACGTCTATAACAACGTTTATCTGCTCAAGAATTACCCCACAAACTGTCACAATTCATTTTTCCAATTGGACAATGAGCAGAGTGAAGGCAGCAGCGAACCCTTAGGGAATCTGAACCACTGACCTCCTCTTCCTTGGTCCATTTCCTTAACCACTACACCATGCTGCCGCGGGGCATTAATGGAGCGTTACAGCAAGTCTATACTTCACGATTAGGTACACAGCACCATGAAGTGTCCCTAGGCCCATCAATCAAACATGGCCCTGTCGAGAATGCTATGAGGGAAATGGGTTTGGAGAAAGCTACTGTAGTGGACAGAGTGTGGACATGTGGAAGGATGGTTGATGGTATTTTGTAATGGAAAAAACCATTCACTTTATAGCAGGACATCAGGCTTTAATTTAGATTTCTATTTCACTTTGGCTCTTTGAGTGCATGAAATAAACTCTCAGCCATATATCTGCACCGTATGGACTACAATACAGGGCCACCTACACAATACACCTACAAGAGCTGCTCGGCCGCAGAAACCCATGCCATGAAGCTCCTGATGGAGAGTTTTTGTGTTAACGTCGATGTCAAAAGAGGTTTGGAGCTTTACAGTTATTGAGTCAGCAGAGCGTTGGCGCCTCAGCAAACAGCAACTGATCTGTAACTTTCTGTTGTC